TACAAGGTGAGCGGCACTCAGCATTTAGATTGAATTATGGCAGTGTAGAACTGTCATGCCTCTGGAGTTCTCTGCTGGGCCTGAACTAGCATCAAGGTGAGGGTCACCTCCCACTTGACGTCCTGGATGATGGTGGTGACAAGAAAGCAAAAGAAGCCCATGTCAGGGCGAGAGGGTGGATGGAGCTGTGATCTTCCCAAAGCCCTGGATCTGGGTTGTTCTGACCTTGCTGATCATGGAGCTGTAATGTACAATAATAGGGGTTAAAGAACACAACCCTATGGAGACCCTGTCAATGATCCTGAAAGTGGCATTTTGCGCTGAGCAGAGCAGAAAGAGCGATGTTAAAAGCAAAGACAGGACTCTGGTGTTGGTTACCAGAAGATCCAGATGCTGCAGCAGGGCCAGGCTCAGGTGTTGTCAGCCAAAATGCAGAGATGTGTGATATTGTATAGAAGGACATGGGGTCGCTGGTATGGCAAGGTTATAAACGGTGTTTTTATATCATTTTCCTCTCTAAGGAGGACTGTGAACTTTTTCATGTGTTCTCCCCTGTCAGCCGCTCTGAGATGCAGGCTAAAAATAAACTGCTCTTTGACGCAGCATTACAGTGTGAATGTGCAGCTGACGACAGAGGCTGATCACCAAGAGTAGAGATTTAACTAAAGTCCACCCAGAGACTATGGAGATTTTCTGAACACAGTGCCATATACCACAGAAATAGGGAGAGAGAACATGGTTACCTGTTGTAACACACTTGATCTAAACATTACTCCAGTCTGATCTGGAAAGGTCTGCTTTTTCTATAATAAATTCACTGAGCTCTCACAGAATATGTTTGAAAATCTGCAGCATTCCTTCTCTCTTAGCTCCAGTGCCACCTCCTAATACACATCGATATTAACCCTTTGAGACCTTAAAAGTGAATGAACTACTTACAACAAACCTGTAGTTATATCCATATAGAGATTTCCGGCATGACTGTAGACAAAAGGTTTTCTATATTTCTATATTTTCTGGCTCTTGGATCCGGTGGGGGTCTGGGGCCTCCTCTCTCCTCTGGGTCCTATGGGGTCTGAGTCCTGGGCCTGGTGGGGTCTGGGGCCCCTCTCTCCTCTGGGTCCTGTGTCGTTGCCTGTGGCTGCAGCCGGCTCTCTGCTCCTGGTGCAGATGGCTCCTTGGATGACGCTTCTTCAGCCGGTTACATCTGCTCCCAGCCCCATTTCTTTTTATTGTTTTACCTATTTTACCTGATATGACTTTATACTTGTGTATATGTGTGTGTGTGTGTGTGTGTGTGTGTGTGTGTGTGTGTGTGTGTGTGTGTGTGTGTGTGTGTGTGTGTGTGTGTGTGTGTGTGTGTGTGTGTGTGTGTGTGTGTGTGTGTGTGTGTGGGTGTGTGTGTGTGGGTGTGTGTATTGTATATATAATTATAAATGTGGTTTTGGGGGGTCTGTGGGGAGGAGGGTTTAGGGCTGGGCATGTTGGATTGTTTTTAACTAAACTGTAAAGCACTTTGTGTTACACTTTTTGTATGAAAAGCGCTTTATAAATAAAATTTGATTGATTGATTTATTGATATATCGTCCTGTTCTAATTCATTGTGCGTTGTACTTTTATACAGTGTCATTCAAATTAATCAGTTATTTGTGTTGGTTAATTGATATAATTGGATATTTTCTTTACAAAATGAAAAGAAGAATGGTGGCTTGCTCTTAAATTAGTTGTTGATGTATACTTTTTTACAAATGATTATACTTATATGAGCAAATGTTTGAAAAAAATACATTTACTGCGGATAAAAACAAACATTATGTCAAGCCCTTGGGCTCAACTCTTTTTTATGATCATACTCAGTTGCATAATCTCAATGTGACTTATCAAACAATAGTCCTAACAATTGCAATAGAGCAAAAACACATGTGTTCAGAAATCTTTAACATAATCACTGAGTATAAATGTGTTTTCTCTTGCGTTTCCAGGTCCAGTTGTAATCCTGCTAACACCAAGTCCACACGTACGAGGAAATACAGGTTTACATCCGGCTTGGACCTGTTCTGAGTCAATGCAGCCGGAGATAAACATGAATAGGGCTCAGATATCATTCAAACACATTATCATGAAGCACAATACCACTGCATGCACTGTAGCAGAGTGGTCAGCCTGTTTGAGCCTGTTTGAGTGCGGTTTACTCTGGATTTGTGCTTTTGTAAATCATCATCAAGTATACAGAATTTTGTTTCATTTCATTACTAGACTTCCCTCATTATGTTCTTATACACACCAACAGACAACAGATATATTAAATAAATATGTTTATTATTACACTAAAAACAACAGGAGTTAATGTTGAAAAAAACAAAACATATAATATTACACATATAAATATATATTAACGTGAAAATACGCTAACAAAATGTGTCGCCAATAGAAGTCACTTAAATACATTGAGAATGTTCTGGTAGGGAGTGATCACAGTGGAACAGGCAGGCTCCGGACAGCAGCTAATGGAGGAACTTCTCTGCTAGGAACAGGATTTAACCAAGACATGCTGTGCTATTATTATTAAATAGTCAGAATAAATTGAATCTTCTAGAAACTATTAAAAAGTCTTCTTCACACTTACAGATATTGATGATTACAATGATCATGAAATTGACGTTTAAGCACTCATAATTTCCCTTCTCATTTACCAACACAAAGTAGAGTAAATCAAAGACATTTTAATTAAATGTTTTAAAACGTGGCTATTTTCGGCTCCTATTCTGTAACAGTCGGGATGAAATAATGTATTGAAGTTCCATTGCTGCTGTCTCGCTTTGAGCCCCAGTCTAAAACCAGCTTTACACTGCAAAAGAACTGGATGGTTGAATTCAGAAAAAGTAGATTTTTTATAGTAGGCTATACTTTAGGCTTTTGGCTACGTTCGCACTTGTGGCTAAACCTGGAGCTAAACCAGGACTTGACCATGGCTTGGCCCAGGCAACATTTGGCCCATATTTTAACAAAAATAATACACAAATTCAGTTTAAAAAATTGCCTGTAGAAATGACTCAAAAGTTTCAGATTGTGGAATTCAAACAAGTCTTTTTGCAGTGCAGTCCTCCTTTAGGGACCTTTAAGTGCAAAACCACATGTCCAGTTTCTCACACCAGACACCCCCACCTGTGCCAGGGCATCACTGGGTCAAATAGGCCTCACCCTTGCTATTGCTACGCTACACTGCAAAAAACAGATTTTCCTTGATTAAATGCATTAATTTCAATCGCACACTTCCTCCATTCAATCTTTTTTTCTGAATTCAAACATGGAATCTATTTTTGGCAGTGTACAAATGCAGCATTAAAAAGCATCAGGAATGTCAAAAACATTTCGGTCAAAGTGGCTGCTTGATGGATGAAAAATGGAGGACAAAGAATAAATTTAACACTAAATATAAATATTAACAATACTGAACAAAGTCTATAAATAAATGTAGTGTACAAGGGATATCTGGTAAGTATATACAGGTCGTTTTTGTCTTTGGAAGCGTTTAAATTAAGTATAAATGGGAAGATTTTAGTTTAGCTGATCAGCCGTTGTGATCAGCTCGTTGAGTGTCTCCGTATATACCTACAGTCATATCCCTTTAGCCTGCTCTGAAATGAACTGCAAAAAAGCAAAGAAACTCAAACACATCAGCTCTTCCTGAAAGGGCGGAGTTGCACAGAGGAGGCGGGCCTAGAGGAGGAAGTCGTTTTCATTTAATTTTTGTGGAAGTTTGAAATGCAGTGTGAGAGACGGCTTCAGCTAATGTCAAAATGCATTCTTTTAATGCACCACTTTCTCAATTTGACTGTTCTTGGACATATTTGAGTTTTTTTTATAGTCAGACTTGCGCCTTTAGGACCAGAAGCCATTTTAGGTCACTCAGGCAGAATTAGCAGCGTGGCATGTTTATAATTGGTCCAAAAGTCTTATCTTTGTTTGTGTTCAACACAGCATTACGAAACATCCCCTCCTCTCATTGCATACAAATATAATAAGTTCCTTAATTAAAGCTGGGGTCCCTAACTTTAAAATCATAAAAAAATAGAACTATCTATCGCTCTCTAAACAGTTTGGTTTTAACAATCAATTGTTATCCTTGCATTTTTGTCCACTGTCACATCTCGTGCTTTTTCAAACAGTAGTTAGTGAGGACCCTCACTAACTACTCACTCAATCAAGTCTCAGTCAATATTTCCTTCCACAAAACTTCCTCTTGGGACAAATTGCATGTATTACTTATTTAAAATAATAAAAAGTTAGGTACCCCAGCTTATAAGCAGTTTTGGGGAGAAAGCCATCCTTTATTTGTTACGGTCCGAAAAATCTTACTTGAAGCAAGAAATTACCCATAAATTTTCGGTAAAACAACATGTAGTTGGAAAATAATATTTGAAGAAAGTCAAAATATACACAAACTGATGACCTTTTATGGATCACTATTGCAGTGCATCTCCGCCTTCATGGAAAAGCATCATCTTCACATTATCACCTCGTTCAGAGCAGCCAAACTGGAACAGCCCATTCATCTTTAAGTCCAGACGTTACAGCCGTCGAGGACTTGCCGTCTGTTCAAGTACAAGAACTTTACTGCATCACGTGTTTTAAAAGTCTGTTTTTTACTCCGTGAAGCGTGGTCGACAGTTCACAAAAAATATTCTGTTTCATCCACAGCAGACCAGCATCCAGTGAAGTTTCAAATATTAAGTCTCATTTTGAGTCCTTTTACTGCGTTTCGATCACACGCCCCGTGGCGCATTCGTTGCTATAAATAATTATATTAAAAGTGTCCTCTTACGTAGCAGCATACACATTGTCGTCGATGTACGAGTGTTATGTACATAGGCCTATATATTAAATCTTTAGGCGGAAAACCAACTGCAAGTCCCATCTCTTGCGTGTCGTTTGGAGTCCTGTAGGAATGATCCTCGGTTCAAAGTGCTGTTTGCAGATTTCCTTCAAAACTGTCTCTCTCACCTCCGCGGCCGCTCACATCTGCACAGAAGGGAGACAACAAGGTTAGCCCGGTTAGCTTAGCATCCACCGCCCAAGTATCTGTAAAGAGACTTCATGCGGTCCTCTGGTTTCTGTTCAGTTCATGTACTTTTGTCTTGGGAAGTTGAGATTTTGATATCACCAATCCCACAATCAAAAATTATCTCAACCAGTTAAAACCTAGCCTGGTCTTACCATACCATTGCACTAATTTAATTTCGTACCAAGGTCTGGATTTGTTTCATTGAGTTCCTTTTACAGATTGAAACAATTGGATCTGAGTTTGCCGTGACGTATGTAATGCGCCCGAGTGAGTCCCTATAGCATTTACCATTTAGCCTAGCATCTCCTTTGCCACTAACGGAGCCCATGGGAAGTAGATCCCCAAAATCTTTGCCTTCAGTTTCTTGATATTTATGCTCCCATCTCTCTGTGTGGAGTGAGAGGACAAATGCCCAAAAAATAACAAACGTAAACCGCTTTGTGTCTCTGGTCGGTGAAAGGCGGTATATAAATAAAAGATTACTTAGATTACTTCCTTATTTGTAGCTGAACCAGAAAGGCTTACTTCACAATCGCATTCGCTGCCATTGCCAAACTACAAACAGCTAATTTGGCGCAAACTTGTTACCGACACCTACGTAACCCACAACACCCGCCTCCCCCGCTCACTGAATGGTCAGAAGGGATACAACCAAGGTAACCGCAGCCACTTGGATCAGACCCAGACATGTAGGGAAATAATAATCGACCGGAGTTTACAGATGGCTAAGGCCAGGCTAGTTAAAACCCTAAACATTACGCAATTTATTTTGGAAATCTTGTAATTGTTACTTGAACACTGAGCTAACAATCTCCTCTTTGTTCCTCTGTTCTTCGAATAATAATAATTGTCTACATGGTCAAAGCTCAAATGTTTAGAACATATATCCTGCGTCCATGTGCATTTTGTAGTGAAGCGTGGCAGTTAATTCTTCTATGCAATTAAAATCCATCAACCTATTTGCACAATTTTATGGTCTTTCAGGATTTTATGATCTCACTTTGAAAACATTTTTCATTGGGAGCTTTGATCTTTCCCCTTTTGTTAAATGTTGAATTAGACATTTTGGTTGATGTCTAGATTTAGGTTATGCATGATAATTTCTTCCCATTTCAATGAATAAACGTTAGTTTGGATAAAGATAAAACAAAAAGTATTTGCAAATTCCAATTTACAAAAGTCACATCTACAACTTTATTTATGTTAATGATATTGTGTTTGGTTGTGGGCAGGGGGCAGGGCTACAACTAATACTACTAATATTACTACCAAATGTGTATCGGGTGGGGGGGCCGTTGGGGTCAGGGGCAGGAGTGATGTTATGGACAAGTGGTTCACAAAACCGTTTTCATGAATAGCTGTATTTCAGTACTGCGAGAAAAAAACACTATAAAAAAGTGTACTAAAACAAAACAAACAACATTAACCAAATGTAATAACCAGCTCTGACTAGACCACACTAGATCGTCTGGTCTACAGCCTCTGAAATAAAGCAAGATTATTTACAAAAATGGACATGAACCTGAGTTTGAGAACCACAGTGATGGACTGAAACTAGACAAATACGAGCAACACGACGACAGCAAAACGTTCAAAGTTTTCAGTCACTTTGATAAAAACGACAACAACACAAGGACAAAAACTACATGGTGAGATGTCTGCAGAACAAGTGGAAACATGGGTCAAGTTTAGACCGTGTCTGACAAAGGACAGCACACTTTTACCACTTTTAAACCTTTATACAAAAAACCAATTGAATTGTTTTTGGGAAAGAATGTATATTTGATTGCTTTTGTATTCTCAATTTGAAAAAGTGTTCACTTAACCAACAAAGTGAGCACTTTTTCATGTGCTGAAAACAGGCAGTATAAGCAATTCTATTGCTTTGAATAAGAAAATAACCTGGATTCAAGAACACTACAATATTCTATATATGTATTATTATTTTAAATGTATTATCATTATTATTATTTATTGAATGTATTCACAAAGGTCTGAAATTAATCAATGAATCATTCGGGAAAAATGTGTTTGAGATTTTTCCACATTTTATCAATTAATTTGATAATGAAATAAAATGCCTGATAAATGTTTTAACTTCATTTAGGTCAATACTGGGGGGTATACTAAAATGCTCCTTTGCATAATTCATTTGATTCTGTCTGTGGGCTTCTAGATAAAGACCCAAGAATGTGATTTTATGAAAGGAGTAATTATAATAACAGATAGTATCATTATGAAGAGATAATCACATGTTTTTTCTTGCGTGACACACGAGACTTCACTGTAATTTCAAATGGTGCTTTGAAGAACACAGCCATAGTACTTCTGTCATCGCAACCTTGACCTTTCACGCTGCGGTCTGTGTTAATGAACTTTAATGAACACCGTGTTCTTGTCCCAGCATCATTCACCTCATTTAGATTCATACAGTAGTTGACTTGTGACTTAAACCGCCTCTTACGATCCTCCTTATGTACATTTTTTGATTACTTCCATGTTTTATTATTTGAGTGTTACTTTGCCTTTCTTAAAACCTATAGCAAAATCTGTCATGCTCTTTAATCCGCATGTTGAGAAGTGCGTATTTGGAATTGTTTGTTTGCTGATTTTGATTGAATGTCAATAGAAGAAAGATAGACAAGGGGGAATAAATTCTCAGAGTAAGTTAGCTTTGCCTTTTATATATCTTGTTGTGTTTAACAAATAGTATTGTTTTGAAGAGGGCCACATGTAGTATTTTCATTAAACATTCCATGTTTATCTTTTATGTGTCCACAAGCACCATAGGTCAACATGTATAAATCACAATATAATTATAGTTATTCTTCATTGAAAATATAATGATATCCACAATATTTTAATTTATGGTTTTCCAATCAGAGAGAAGAATGTGTGAATGTTTTGTAATATAAAATAAAAAAATCTAACAAAAATAGGTTGAACCAATCAAGTGGTAAAGTGGCACCAAAGCATCTCATTTGAACTCTCAGTCATTCACACAGTGGCATTTGCGACTTGACCAACACATAAGAGAAACCAAAAAGCAAACAACAACAAAACCACATATCCTACATAAACAGAAGCAAAGGGGCGGGGAAAGCATGCATTCATCACACACTATAAAATAACTTCTACAGGAGTTTGAATGGACTGAATCTGAGGTTTTGAAAACCTTGCACCCCACCTTGAGCGTAGTTTGCTAGCACACAAGCCACACACTTTTTGGATAAAATCTATAGCAATATGTTTTTGGAACAGCACAATGTTTTGTGCTGCCTGCATCTGAATATCAGAGCTGCTTTATAAATTAATTGAAATCCATTAATTTCGTATCTGGCATGCTAGTTGTTGTCAGCTTTACTCCCTAAAAATGCTCATCTAGGGGAGGTGTGAAAAGCGCATGCTCTGAATATGTTGGGAATACTTTATTCTCACCAGGGTGTACCAGAAAAGTTATTTTTGGATTGGTATCATACTTTGAATGACATTGCATACACTACTAAATCTCTACTTCTACTACTACTACAGCAGCTTATGAGAACTTCTTAGAAGTATGCTTAAAAACAATCTTCTAACTCTCACTCCTTATATACATTTGCCACTCTATAGGCAATATCAAACCCCAGGATTTAAATCATTCTGACTCCTGTAGATATTATTTGTACAACGTGGACAAAGGAGTGACAGGCTGAGAAGCACAGGACAGTCAAACACAACAAAGACAGGAGCTGAATATTTGTATGAGCACAGACCTGCAGGTTCGCTCGTTTAGCTCGAGCTTTCGGGCCGTGCAGTCTAAGCGAGAGTATTTGCAGGAGCATGAGCAGGTGAGAGGGTCCTGAATGAACAGGCGCTTCCTCCGCTCGGAGCAAGGCGCACACTGGCTGCAAGAAAAGACAAGAGGACAGAGAAAAGGCTAAGCTACGTACTGCACAGGGCCACTGTTCATGCGCAGCAGGCCACAGGGAGGAGTCAAGAGTGTGTACGCTTTTATCCCCAGATGTCAATATTTGATCAATCAGTGAAATCAAATGTCCTCATGGGGACAATAAAGTAGCCTTGACAGTTTGCGATGTAACTTTTTGGTGCTTGTTCACTATATCAACAGCTACAGCAACGGCTACAAGAAAAAAATACTTAGTCCTCAAATGCTCAAATGTTTACATGTAATTGCCAAATCAGCTTAATTTGGTGGGAAATGCAGCATACAAGACGAATGATTGATGCTTTAGCTCTAAATAAGTTAAGAACTGGAAGGAGAAACATTGAAAATCTCAGGCCTGAATCTAAAGATCTAATAGCTCATGGCAAAACAAGACCACGCTAAGGGCTGAGAAAGGATATAAAAGTGTTTCCTATCGCATGCAACAAGTCTTATGTCTAGAAGCCATTCACACATTCACATGCTCTCAAAATAATGCAGCTCTGGACAAAGCCTGGATCAAGATGAGATTGTCTCTGCTTCTGTCAGGTTTAACAGTAAGTGTTGTAAAGGACTGAGCATGTTCCTGTGATTATCCAGCTGTAACACACTGTCCCATGTGTCAAATGGTGATTTATGTTCATGAAAGTACTCAACAAATACAAGAATTAACAACACAACCTAACACTGTATAGTGTTTTAGGCTCGCCATGTTACAAAAACATACAGTATATAACTTGATTAGTTAAGGCTATGGTATGATAACTGCAGACCAAACACCAAACATGACAAATGGACATAAGTATGATATAATGTGAACATAGACACCATACAGGCCTCTATCTGAAACCAAAGGCCATCTGCAAGACTAAACACTCAAACAGTCATTCATAATGCAGGAGATAATGGGAAGTTTTGTCTTAATGGGTCAACTTAAGCATGGCACTGCACTGAAGACGTCTACCGTTAAGACAAGATCTTAAAACATCTTATGTCAACATAACTATGTTTCATTAGTGTTGCCTAGTTTAGTCAAACTATATGATAAAGTCATAGTCAAGTGTTTGTGAGAGATAGACAGCCAGACAAAGAAAACTAGTGGAATAGAGCAAAAAATCCACTAAACTAATAATTGTGACGTCCCTATGAGACAATTTTATTATTTTGCAACCAATTTTTCTGAATTTGAAGTTTTTGTCAGTTACAGAGTTCCAAAAACCATGGTGCACATGGTGATTACACTCTCATGACCTGTAGTGATGACTCAAGTCTTTCCTCAAATAGGTGAGAGTTTACGGGGTCATTCAGGCTCTGCAGACACTGTGTCACTCCGCTTCAGATAGTGTGAACGCAGTTTAAAGTCTTTCAGCTGGATTAGATGTACTAGACAGCTGATAAAATTATACTTTTTTATGCCGTTCCACCCAGCAGCAAGAACTATGAGGTTGATGCGTTGTATCGGGACAAGAGAGAGCATCTTTTCCAAGTGTTCTCAAGGACAAAAAATAAAGTTTAGTTGTGTATTTGTTAGCACAAGTTCTTATGTACTCTTTGTTTGATCACAACATGGCCCCTTGAACTGGATGGGTGATTCCAGGTTACCATGACGATGCACTCTCTATACCTTATATAGCTCTATGGTACGTGCCCCTGGACAGGCAGCAAGTTGATCCTATTAGAACAGGCTGCTCTGACCCCACGCAACTCAGGACGAGGAAATCCTACAGGAAATATAAGATTCAAGGACTAAACCCTGTACATGTATACAGATGTCACAATCTAGTGTTACCACTGATGTGAAATAATAATCATGATTTCAGTGAGGCCCACAAGGAAAATAGTTTGGCATGCGCCCCATTTTTCTGTATTAACAAATCCATGGTTTTCGCAACTCTTGACATCCGCATTGCATAGAAATCCCTTCTCAGGACTACTGCAGCTGTTCCGGACAGAAAGCCCTGGTTCATCAGAACACACACTACTCTGTCAAAGCACAAACTGTGTACTTCACACACAATAAAGAAAAGCTTAATTGATTCATGTTAAAGTAACATGCACAAAGGCTGTGTGCTCTGTCAGCATGTGTTTCGACCTTTGCTTGTTAACAAGGAACATTGTGTGCACTGTTTGTGAAAACATAAGGCTGTGGTCCAGCTTCCCATCTATGGGCCTCCCTCAGGAAAGTATAATTGATAATCCCTGCTCTTAATTACATTTCATCCATAATTGTTAATATTCAGGTCACAATATAATTGCTACAACTACAGATTAATCATTTCTGAGGTACAGATTTAATTTTAGAGAGTACCCCAAAAGGTAAACCTTTAAACATAATTATTGTATCTGCTTCTTGTTAACGACCAATCATCACAAACTCATGATAAGACTATAATGATGACATTGCTGTGCAGCTGCTGACAAAACACTGAATTTGAAATTAAATGAAAAAGAAGGTATGTATTTAACATAAATATGTATGTATATATATGTATATGTATTGTTGCACAAGAACCAATGAAATCATATATTACTGTTGTTAGGCCATAGTTCTAATCTGTAAAATAAAGTGTAACATTTGACTGGGTCCTATCTTCTATAACTAGAAAGAAAGGACTTAAGTGGCCGTTTTCTCTTCTCCAAAGGACTGGGGTCTATTTACAAGTACTGAAAGTAAAAATAGGTGAGCGGTGTGACACCAGAAGCTAAGATTAGCACAAAAGTAAAGGTGCAACTTCATTGGAATCAGAGTGAGCCGTGGGTGGTCCACTTCTGACCCAGACACACAGGACTTAACCAGGTCTGTCCCAGGTCTGAACCAGCTCTGAACCAGGTCTTATAACCATGAAGAACTCAAATGATGATCAACTCTAGGTTTCAACTTGTGTGCACATGTGTTTTAGTTTGGTCCTGCTAGCCATGTTTCATTGAATGTGAACGTATTTAAGTCCAAACTCTTTATAAACCAAGTTCCAGGACTAAACCAAAATGAAACCATGAGTGAATGTGGACCAAAAAAAACAAAAAAAACACGCTGCAATAGACCAAAATTGTAACCATAAGACAAGAACAAATCTAAAAAAAGACTGAACCAGGACTTAATTGACCACATTAGGGCCAGGACTGATCCAAGAATTTCAAAACTTTTGGACCCAAAGACCAAAACTTGAAACCCTTGACCGCTTCAAATGACTATACGGCAAACTGGGAATGGCTCAAGCTAACTACACTAAACTGGGTCATAACACAAGCACAGCAGTTTGGAGACCCGCTGACCCAGTTCAATTCACACATTGTCAAATATACACATTTTTCCTGAATAATATTTCCCCTTGTGACTCTTCTAACAGCTCTGAAGTCATAAAATTTTAGCCTGTAACTACAAGGAGCAAAATAGATTTTCAATGGCTCCCAACATCCACCATATACACAAACTCTCAAAACAATGCCTTTCAAATATACTCTAAATGTGTATACAAAACATTGAAATATATATATTTTCTAATGTTAATTTATCCAGTAGTGTGAAAGGCAAAACAGATTTCACTATGCCACAACCACTATCTTTTTTTCATTTACAACAATCTCCTTCACTACATTTAACACACTGAGAATGTACTTACTATTGTTTCTTTGCTGCTGTTAAGATCGCCTTTTCCCTGCAAAGAAAAAACCACATTATTTATCTTGATTTTTTTGACACTTCAAACTGTGTGTATCCTCTGTATACCTGCATACACATCGCGTATGCTCCGTGAATTTTAGTGGTAGTTTGAGTTGCGATACCAATGGCCTCGACCTCATGACCTTGAAATCAGAAAACAGGAAAAAGTTGTTATTAAAAAAGAAATCATTTTACATCAGTTCATCACCTCGTTTGGCTTTTGCGACCCTGAAAGCAGCAGCCAAAATATCTATCGTTGTTCATGGATGTCTGGGAGATTTTACGGGCATATTTTGGAGGTGAGGCTTGTGAACAGAAGTGAGCGTAAACAAGATGTCTGAAATGCCAAGTCCGACCGCTCACAAAGACTCCTGCTGAGTCAAAGCCAAAGAGAGGAATGGAACGTGCGGAATAGAATGTGTCCTTAAAAGGTTTGTCAACAACTACATGAGTTTCAGATGTGGATGTAATGCACACTATTTCACTCAATTCTGGATCACATAGTATTTGATATAAAGGTGAGCTACTGTAACACATGTTTTAATTGTTTTTTCCTCGTACTTTACACCAGTTGTTCCCAAGCAGAAGTACATGGATTTAGGAAGTACTAGACTATATACTGTACATGAAAACAAACACTTCATAGCAAATTTGCTATTTCTTGCCATTTTGAAATCAAGAAAGTGGTTCAGGCACATCATGCTAGCAAGCCAATTCCTGCTCACTAGCTAGAGTCCAATTTGAGAATAGATGGCACCTGATTGGTCAGGCTTTAGAGCTCATAACTTGATTTACAAAGACGAAACACTGGGAGCACAGGGAGCGCTAGTTAATAACTTGTAAGCTCATAATGGTGATTGTGACACAGAGTGAGAGGGGTGTTCTTGTGTTTTTGGAGACTAAGTGAGTTTGAGAAAAACTTTGCCCATGAGCACTTCTGCATTAGGGTTCAATAGGAATGTCCATCTGCTGTAGACACCATCTATGTGTGCACCTTAGAATAGGGGCAAACTGATGTATCCTGCACATGTCCTACTGTATAGAAGTATCCACACATTATTTGACTTGGTTAAGGAGGCCCTTTGACTTATTTACACAGCAATGTCTGTAGCTCTCTGAAAGGCGGGTCCCCGGCCTGGTGGGCTCACCTCCAGCGTGACGTTGCGGGTCTCTGTGGGCACACACTCAGTGCTCTCGTCCTGGCAGCAGCCTCCGCAGCGGGACAGCACCACACACGACGGGATGTAGATGTACTCTGTGTGCTCTGGATACTCCGAGTACACGTCCACCAGCGTGTCCCGGGGTTTGCACTCGCTCTTCATCAAAACCTCCATGAACTGGACCACTGCAAACACACAGCTGTGAGCATTCAGAGCGTACTTTCACACACCTATGGACATTTGTCTATGTTGGTTATTCTAGACTTGTACCTGACGCTAACATGTTTCATGATGGTTAGATATTGTATTGTATGGATACTGTCAGTGTCTATCCTTCTGTAATAAATTGTTACTATAGTCGTATTTGCTCACTTGACTGCATGGCAATTAGAAATAAATAATACAATATAATTGTATTTACTAACAATGGATTGCTGTGTCATGTTTCCTCCTGATTAGCAGAGTGCAGGTGTCTGAAAACATTTGGGGCAATAGCACTACTGACATAAAGAGCTTAAACTGTATCAGAGGAGTAAGACTAAGGCCCATCCAATCTGCCTGAGCCACACGAGCCCAATACGCACTTGTCCCACATCTCAACTGTCAGCTTCACCTGGAGCTGACACTCAAATATCAAATGGGAAAACTATCAAACATGGGGAATTTCATCGTATTTTAAAGATGACCTATTATGCAAATGTTCATTTTAAGAACTTTGAAGTATGTTATAGTTTTGGTTTAAAGCATATTGAAATAGAACTGTGCCAAAAATCAAAACACATCTGAACATTGTAGTTTTTCAGTTTTTCTCTTGTATCTTGTTGTGTGCATTAACTAATTAACTTAATTATGTGTGCGGCTGACAGCGGATGCCGTTGTCTCTCCTCATTTGTCTTTTGCAATGTTGGCTTGAACATTTAAGTTTTGTGTGGCTTTGTGCAAGTATATACCATGATTCAATAATAACATAAAAATTGTGATAATTCAAATTGATCAATCAGTATGAGAAAAAACCTGTCTTTATTTTGTCTTCCATATTAAATGTTATATTCTCGCTGCCCTTTCAGCGTCAGAAATTGTATGGATAAGTGTATTTAATGCATAACAAAATTATCAAACACAACATTTAGTAGTAGAAGTCGGGAATAGCCATTTTCGTATTTAATTGAAGGAACACAACTGAAAGGAACATATTTATAAATTCCTAAAACTAATTTGGATGCAAAACTTTTGTTTTAAACAGTCAGCTCTTTCCATGCTGTGTAAGACTAAGACAGAAAGGACAGGTAAAAGTCATTATTTCACATTCTAAAACAATGCATAGTATTTGTTTGTGTTTTTTAAAGATTTGTTTATTGAAACTATATTCTTGATTGGTCCTTTGTCGATTAAGAAACTTTATTGATCTTTAAAACCACAATCCCTGCCTTAGGAGGGCAGTGCCATGTCAATTACATGTTCCTTTTTGCAAAATACTTATATTGTACTGTCTCAAAGTTGTCACCATTTGAATCCCTAAAAACATTATCTTTTGTCATAAGCACCCACCCTGATAGTGGTGGCAATAGTTACATTAGAAGAAGCTAGTTGGACTTGCAGATCTATTGGGACAACACACATTTTTATGACCAAGTCCAAAGGTCACAGTTTTCCCCTTGTTTGGACTTTGTAATGCTCATATTCACACAACCTTTAGTCCCACTGAGACGTGGGATCTGTCATGAGTAGAAGAGAAATATCAAAATATGTACAACAAGTTAAGTGGATTGGGCTGAAAAACGAAAGCTGCACTAAGAAGATGTTATTGATTTTACTAAAACTGTGGAAAAAGTGATTATCCAACAAAAACAATTAGTCATATTTATTATTGCTAAGTATCAAAAGTGAAACATAAACAAATTGAAAGAACAAGTGGAAATTTGAAGCCAAGTCCAACATTACAGACCAAGAACAAACTCATTGCCCAAGAAAGCATCTGCGTCTGTCACAATCCTTCATAACAATAAACCAGCCACATTACGTTATCAAAACAATAATTGTTCATTGCAAGTTCAATGTTCCAGTCAGTTCACTCCATGTCCACTAGGGGCTAAAATAGAAATGAGCAGGGACTAGAGCCCTGCACTTGAGCCCTTGGCCCGAGGGCCCCGACAGCCCGAGGGCCGGGCTTCGGGCCGATGACCGCATAATGACCTCGGACACGGGCCGGGCTCGGGCTCTTCATTTTCAGAGCGGCAGAATAGATTTACGAGCGCACCCACTGAATATAGCGTTCTATCACGCTGTAGTGTTTGTTGTTCTGTGTAGTGTTGTCATTGACGGCACATAGCGTTACTTATGTAATGTCCAGATGTGTTGCAGCATCGGGGGCATCATACAGATGCGGCCGTTCACTCTGCACTAGAGCCCTGCACGGGCCTATTATCTGGGCCCGAGCCCGGCCCTGGCCCGAGGGGGTGGCGCCCCAGCCCGGCCCGGCCCGATATGGTTTCTGAATTTTCAGGCCCGAAACCCGCATCAAGCCCGCCTTTTTTTTTTTTTGTAACCTCCCATAACAATGTTTTAGCGTAGTATATAGTGCCGCGCACTGATATGAACGCAGACTTAGCTAGAGGGCGGAGTTATACATGGTAGTGATGTGTTGCAATGAGTTCTGTGTGTGCGGAGTGGTGCAGAGTGAACGGCCGCATCTGTATGATGCCCCCGATGCTGCAACACATCTGGACATTACATAAGTAACGCTATGTGCCGTCAATGACAACACTACACAGAACAACAAACACTACAGCGTGATAGAACGCTATATTCAGTGGGTGCGCTCGTAAATCTATTCTGCCGCTCTGAAAATGAAGAGCCCGAGCCCGGCCCGTGTCCGAGGTCATTATGCGGTCATCGGCCCGAAGCCCGGCCCTCGGGCTGTCGGGCCGTCGGGGCCCTCGGGCCAAGGGCTCAAGTGCAGGGCTCTAGCAGGGACAAGACCATTACCTTCATTTTTGCTTTTGTCCATCGCCTTAATGCTGGCACCCTGTAAGAAACCAACACATCTCACGTTAAACATTTTACAGTAGTTTTATGTGTCAATTAAATATTGACCAAAAATAACAAAATTAACAGAGAACTTTGCTTTTGAATGGATAACTTATGCATCCGCTGAGTTTCAAGGATATTTTCCATTCAAGAAGTGATCGAGACAAAAATGTGCTTTGGTCAGTTATAGTACGGTGAGATTATGTGTTAAGTATAATTGTATGACTGTAACATTTTAAATCCCAATATTGAATTTAAAAATAACCTAATACAAGTTTACTTACACATTTAAAACTGACACATCCTTTGATATTTGAATGGAATTAACTTTTTTATTCATCTCAACTGTGGACATGACCAAAAACGACATATTACCAGTACAATAATAATGTCCCGCCCCTTTCTTAACAATATACAATACACAAACATGATCAACTACAGCACTCCTTAAAACTGGCTTGATTTGTTTTCCAATTTTATATTAATCGTTTTATATGATTGTATTAGTTTCTGCTTTGATTTTTTCCCTCAATATGTGAAGGTTTACTTTTTATTTTATATCGATTCCACAGTTTTACTCCGGGCCACTGATGTCTCTGGGGGGTTCTGTCAGAGGAGACAGAGAAGTGTAGCATCCTTCAGCTGGTTTGATTTTGAGTGAGTAGCTGCTGATGAACGACTGTAGTTTAATAAGATCATGTAGTTGTATGTTTTTCCTGTCTAAATAACTGGTTTGTGTTTGTAAGAGCGCTGAATTATTCTCACTGCTGTTTAAAATAATTATAGGATTTATTCCCCATACTTCCAAACAGTAGGTGAGATGAGGGAAGATCAGGGTACTGTACAGCAGCCTCAAAATCTGGTAAGTATTTAACTTTTTGGAGTACAGAAATAGTTGTGAATATCTAATGTATATGATTTCCAATTTTATTTCTCATCCATTGTCACCCCCAAAAATTCTATTTCTTGTATTTCTTGACAATTGTCGTTCCTTTCATTGAGACCTGAATGTCTGTGTTAATATTACTGGTTGAAAAATCTCATGCATTTTTTCTTGTTTATATGAAATGACCATTTATCTTTATCCAACCATAATTTAATGTTGCCCATTTCCTCTTCTCATAACTGGTCACTCTGCCCAAAGCAATATTTTATAATGATCTTTTCCCTAAAGCGCACAAGTACCACACATGCAGTTTTTGCTTCTATAGAACCTGGGGTGGGCGTGCCCTTCTTTACCATAGTACTGCTTGTAATGTCATATTTTTCATATAACTTTCCATGTATTTCTGCAAATATGAAATTATAACAAAGTTAATCAAATAAAATGTCTCATTTAATACCACAACAGAAAAGCAGAGGTCATGTCCTGAAACAACTCAACAACAGGTGCAGAGAGAGGAAGCCTGTCAAGCTGCTACTCGATGCACCTGTGGCCCTTTCACAATAAAAAAATAAACAAATAAATAACGAGATGGTATATGCACATGTATATGAACTGATATTATACTGCACATGTATATGAACCCCTGATATTATACTGCACATGTATATGAACTGATATTATACTGCACATGTATATGAACTGATATTATACTGCACATGTATATGAACCCCTGATATTATACTGCACATGTATATGAACCCCTGATATTATACTGCACATGTATATGAACTGATATTATACTGCACATGTATATGAACCCCTGATATTATACTGCACATGTATATGAACTGATATTATACTGCACATGTATATGAACCCCTGATATTATACTGCACATGTATATGAACTGATATTATACTGCACATGTATATGAACCCCTGATATTATACTGCACATGTATATGAACCCCTGATATTATACTGCACATGTATATGAACTGATATTATACTGCACATGTATATGAACCCCTGATATTATACTGCACATGTATATGAACCCCTGATATTATACTGCACATGTATATGAACTGATATTATACTGTACATGTATATTAACCCCTGATATTATACTGCACATGTATATTAACCCCTGATATTATACTGCACATGTATATGAACCCCTGATATTATACTGCACATGTATATGAACCCCTGATATTATACTGCACATGTATATGAACCCCTGATATTATATTGCATGGCAGTCCTGACATTTACTAAATGGATACTTGAGCAATAAAACAAGAAAAGTAGTTTATCTCAAATGATGTACAATCAAGTGTTAAGAAGACACCCAACACAAGCCTTTACAAACTGTACAGACTTCTTTACACATATTATTCACATGGGGCAAGAAACTCAATCAATGTAATTACTGCAATTTACCTCAGGGGTCCCAGATAAAAAACTATTCATAAAGACAGTGCAACCAACCCTATTTTTCCTGAATCAAGGCAATGTTCTGAAAACTAAATCAATCAACTATCTCATTACAGTGTTTAACATTATATTATTTTAAATATCTCTCTATCGCCCTTTCTTTTTCCCATATAATAAGCAAAGCTAGTTCATATTACTCACTACTCACCATATGCTGCTAAATGCTCAGTTTCATAACCATTACAAACACCTTCCACTTAATCTCCATTAAACTACTGGGTCATTTTAAACATGAAACACAAACCTAGTATTCTCAACAAAATATAACACAAATAAGGATCATAAAAATGTGAGCTCATAAAAATTCGTGTATGGGCTATATGTAATATTCTCCCTGCACTTTTACTTGAAATTAAATAATAGTGTTAAGGGGTTTTGGAAAGCTTCTGGCTCTCTGCAGACACCATCCCAAAAGAGGAGTTATTGTGAAAGAGCAGACCGGAACGTGCCTTTGTTTTGGTTCCCTCCCGGTCCCTGACACCGGCTCTCTGCTGTAACACGCACCGTTATTGCGTGAGAAACCGGCTCTTGCTTCTCTCCACGTCGCGGTGACGTGTGGAGCGTCTGTGCAGGACGATGAGCGGTGACGTGTGGAGCGTCCGTGCAGGACGATGAGCGGTGCCCTATATATCCCACCTTCGTGCGTGCGCCTTGAGTGATGACTCAGGCCCAAACCGGCCAGACTTCATTCAAAATACGACTAAATCACAGCTTCAACGCACAATTAACATTTACCGTGACCGATACATTTCACAACTACTGCAGTGAGTGACTCATGAGGCCCTGTGTAAAAAGTCGGCTTGAGTGTTCTCCAGGATGCACTCTACACTTTTCTGCAATTGCAGACTTTTATTCCCGTACAATTGAGCTTGGCACTGTCAATTGTGTCCAGTCCAGTTCACGCGAAAGAAACCGGTGCTGAATTTAAATGCGACTCTTTCAAAGCCAAATTGAGTCTCCTGGGGCTTAACTTTGGCGCCTATTCCACTTGCCCACTGACCAAATAAAGACAGCACAATATGCAAGAGAAATTAAAAAAATACATAGTATAAGAAGTGCAACACGTTGTGTAGTAATTGTATTTGATTTATGGTGACTGGTCAAAAAGGTGAGATGGGGAAATGACAGGACAGTGTCATAAATGTTGCTGGTATAATATTACTTGATAATGACCAAACACGTGTTTTCATTGGGACATAATAGTGCGTCTTAAACAGGTTATTCCATGAAAATGACATTAAGCGAAAAGTGATACTTGCCTTTACAATGGAGAGATGAAAAACCGCAGCCAAAAGGATTGTTACCAAACTAACGACAAAGTTCATGATTGTAATTCCACTCGAAGATGTTCTGATTTCAGCAGGTCGATCCAGAAATAAAAAAATATATATAAAAAAATACGCTTTAAACAATCTTCACACAATATGCAAACACCAGATAAAAAAACGTTTGAAATAAAAATAAATATTAATAATAATACAAAAAAATCTATGGGCTTGCGCTATAGTCTCAGCGTATCCATAATATCGTCAGACATGTGGCGTGTTCTCGGCGAGCCAACCGCTATCATCCGGCAACAAAGACGCACTGATAGGCTCCAAAAATCCAATGATGACACGCACAAGCAGAGCAACTTTTACGCACGTACGGCACCTTCCCAGGAGAAATTGTGATTCAAAATAAATGTCAGGGTCGGTGCAAAGTGGCTGCAGTAGAAATGAAGTCCTCCTCTTAATGGTACTATACTTGTCTTGCGTGTGCGTGCAATGGCAGCTCTTGTTTCGGCTCTTCTCACTCCGGTCTGGCCGCGCCGCGTCTGATTCGTTATCTGAGAGGAGACTGCTGGCATCAGGAGAGTAAAATATCTTGACCGGGGGCGTGTCAGTGAGAACTCAGTGCAAACGAGGGAGGGACCTAATCTGCAGACGCGGAGCTGAGGGCTGCTCTCTCATGTCCCTCCTGCTGCTTTGGTTCGTGATCCGCAGGTGAGGTCGCATACATTCACCTGCCTTTATGATAAAACAAATATCAAACGTGACTTGTAATACGTGCTGTATTTTAACCTTGATCTTGAGAGCTGTACTTAGCAGGGGTACTTGTATTTGTCCCAACAGAAAGAGGTTTGCCAAAGTAAAATGTACTAAATAAATCAGACCACAACATGCTGTCTTCGTCCTATTAGAAAAACGTGTTTTGTTTTGCATATAGGGAAACAAACCTGTGAGTCTTTCAATATATACAGTGCACACTTAACAACCAATGTGTATGTTAATGACACAGTGGTGTGGATAGGTTGACAGATAAAGTGTAACATTTATTTTACTATAGTATTTACACTCTATGTTATAACTTATCTATCATCCATTAGTCAACAGTGAGTTCATTCATTAATTACTTTAAAGAGCGATGAGAACAAGAATGAATCTTGAGTTAATCAACAACTAATGAGTTATTGTATTTATTCATGTCTAGTAAGTATCCATTCATGTCTAGTAAGTATAAAATCATGTCTAGTTGTTACTTTAGTGAGGAGAGGGGCCGTCGTAGTTCATGGAGCTGAGGACGTAGCAGGGGGATGCTCGGGAGACGTAGTCATGCTGCTTAAAACTACAGTGACTAAAATGAGACGTGAGCCACAGAGGGTTGAGACCGATGTGTCGTTGTAAAGTCATACTCCAGTCATATTATGGTTTTGGTGCTGGTTTTGGTGTGAAAGTTACCATTATGGAAATTCCATTCAAATTATGTTTGTATTGCCTTGAATCAAAACAGTAGCCTAGGAAGCATTAGCACATACCTTTTGGGTCCTCTGAAAGCAGCCTTATAGAGAGGAGAAAGATACACGTATCCAGGACTTTATCTAGAAGCAGGCAGTTGGTTTGTTTAGCCAATTAGTCTAGAGCCAATTAGTCTAGAGCTGACTGGCTGTCCCTAATCTCATTTGATCCCAAAAGCTAAGCAGGGCAGAGCCCGGTTAGTGCTGCAATGGGAGACTGTTGGGAATAACCAGTGGGGGCGGGTCCTGGCTCAAAAGTGGCCAAAATGACGTGCACTGACATGCTTGCAATACCACGCCGGGCCAATGAGGGTGGACCCGGAATAAGAATTAGCCAATGCTAACATGTAGCATATTCCTACCTCTCGAAAACGCCTTTACAGGATGGTCCAAAAGTTCCACATGTGTGTCAATGCTGAGGGGAGTGAATTTTTTTGGACCAGTCACTCGCTGTGAATTTTTGAAGTCACTCGTTTAAATGAATGGGGCTCATGCCAGCTGATGCATTCGCAGATGCGTTTTTTTTTCACATTTTCCAGCGCCGCGGCCATTTTGAATCACTCCATGAGAGCCCAATTTTTGGCCCATTAGTTAGAACAGTGGAGATGGGCGTGACTACGTCCGTTAATATATACAGTCGATAGGAATAACCTTGGATCTGTCATATGATAATAACAGGATAGGGTATTACTAGCTTTATTAAGCCTCGCCAGTGTAAAGGGCTCGAACACACGGGAGGCGACAAATGAGAGCGATCAGCGAAACTCAACGCTGTCGCTCAGATAACATGACAGACGGGGCGCGATGGGGCTTGACGACAGCGTCGAAAAGTTGAGCCGATTTCAACTTTCTGGGATCGCGTCGCTGACCTGCGCGTGTACGATACATGCACGAGCGGGAGGATTTCACACGCACGTTTTTTGCCCGTCGCTGAGCAGGAGGCTCGCTAGCGATTGACGCTATGTTGCGCACGTCCCATTGAAAATGAATGGAGGCAATGCGATGTCACCTCCCGTGTGTCGAGCCCTTAAGGCTTGATAAGACAAAACAATGTACAGAAGCTATAGGAGCAGTGTGTAAAAATCTGGCCAAAAGTGGTATTGCAACCTCTTCCACTCTCCCTGATTCAAGTTGCCAAATGTGCAGACAAATCCAGCTAGGAACATAATATCTGAATGGACAAGAGTTTTGTCAACAACAAATCTATAACCAACACCTTTTTCACAAAGGCCCCAATAGAAATCCTAGTTTTATTCCTTGTTTTGTCATTAATGATTTGAGAATCATAACAAGACCTCCTCAAACCTCACCAGTGAAATTAGCTCAACACAGTGAGTTCTGGCAACCCGGATCACAGACTTTCTGATTGGTAAAACAGTGGGCAGGACATTGAAATGTAAACAATAACAAGATTTAGGGGCTGTAAAACTTATTTTGAAATTCAAATATCTCGGCTGAACTACTGTTATTAGTTAAGGATGTGAAAAAATATCTTGGTAAAAAATATATGGCAAAATAAGTATGAAAGGTAAATAATGTTATCTGGCTGCCCTACCTCCATGCTACCACCAGAGGGTTAGGGTTTAGGGTTAAAGCTGCACTAACTGACTTTGGGATTTTGAAGCAGCAGACTCGCTGGCCTCTCTCTTTCTGCTCCCCTCCCCGCACCCACGAAGCTATCGCCCCCCACACACACCCACTGTTGTTGACGGAGCTAGCGTCTCCCAATATGGATAATACATGGATATGGATTTGCACGTGGATGGCGTGACCATAGAACGATAGAACCGCGAAGCGCGGAGGAATGGGACTGCTGTGTAAGCAGTAACCGGTGACGCGGACGAGGAAGTTTCAGGTTAGCTCTGGCGCTTGTTGTACTTACACAGCTGTCTATGCTAACAGACCTGTAGATTTCTTACAAAAGCGGGGGCCAGTGGTCCGCTGTGATTGGTCACAATCTGCGACCCGAAACACATTCTCTTCCTTGTTTCATCAAAACTCGATCTAAAATATACATGTCACGGCAGCACAAATCTGCGCTACTTTTTCTTCAAAAGGACGTATATCCAAATGCACTACATGGACATGGATAGCATTTTTGTAATGAATACGAAAAAAAAGTCAGTTAGTGCAGCTTTAACTGAATTTTAGTTACACACAACCACAGTCAAACAAATGCAAATAAAGTTATTTAACCAGAGAAAATGCACACAGGAAACACTTTTGTTTAAAAGTCAGAAGACTCCTCTGACCATAGTAGTTCATGACATCATACTATTACAGGATTGAGGCAGGAACTTACATGATAGATGTTCTTTGTAAATGGGCACATACTCTTTTAAACACAATTTATACATATATATATATATATATATATATATATATATATATATATATATATATATATATACATATATGTATATATATTATGTTCTGTTACAATACATCAAAGAGAGTCAAGCATCGGGGATATCCTGAATAATTCCATACTACAGGACTCCTCCTCATACAGTAGATACAGTACCTTGCGAAAGTATTCGGCCCCCTTGAACCTTTAAACATTTCGCCATAATTCAGGCTTCAAACATAAAGATATAAAATTTTTTGTCATGAATCAACAACAAGTGGGACACAATTGTGAAGTGGAATGAAATTTGTTGGATAATTTAAACTTTTTTAACAAATAAAAAACTGAAAAGTGGGGCGTGCAAACTCAGTCCAGAAGTTCAGTGAGGATCTTTGAATGATCCAATGTTGTCCTAAATGACTGATGATGATAAATAGAATGCACCTGTGTGTAATCAAGTCTCCGTATAAATGCACCTGCTCTTTGATAGTATCAGGGTTCTGTTTAAAGCGCAGAGAGAACCATGAAGACAAAGGAACACACCAGGCAGGTCCGAGATACTGTTGTGGAGAAGTTTAAAGCTGGATTTGGATACAAAAAGATTTCCCAAGCTTTAAACATCTCAAGGAGCACTGTGCAAGCAATTATATTGAAATGGAAGGAGTATCAGACCACTGCAAATCTATCTAGTTATTTGCAGTTCATCCAGAGCGATCATGGGCCTCTTGGCTGCATCTCTGATCAGTCTTCTCCTTGTTTGAGATGAAAGTTTGGAGGGACGGCCGGGTCTTGGTAGATTAGGACAACATTGGATCATTCAAAGATCCTCACTGAACTTCTGGAGTGAGTTTGCTGCACTGAAAGTAAAGGGGCCGAATAATATTGCACGCCCCACTTTTCAGTTTTTTATTTTTTTTTTAAGTTTAAATTATCCAATAAATTTTGTTCCACTTCACGTTTGTGTCCCACTTGTTGTTGATTCATGACAAAAAATTAAAATTTTATATCTTTATGTTTGAAGACTGAAATGTGGCGAAATGTTGAAAGGGTCAAGAGGGCCGAATGCTTTCGCAAGGCACTGTAATGTGCACTACACCACGTAGTTTCTTTGGTAAAGCAGAAGTAATGTTTCCCGTTCACTATAACCTCTGCTCATCATTACGTCACAGACCTTTGATAATCAAACATTGTGTGTAATCTTT